CCATGAAAAGGGGCACCCAGTCCTCTGGCTTGCTGCTCCTGCACAAAGAGACCACTTAATTCTGCCAGCCTTGCTTTCCTGCCACCTCTGGCAACTCAGGGAGGCCCTTTTCTTCCACTCTTCCTGTGCGTTATTAATAATATGAGGAATAAACAGGGGGCTCCGAGTCAGGCCAGAGCGTGTGCAGCTGACCCCTGGCTGCTGGCACAAGGCACCCCCTGGTGGGACGGGCCTTGGGTTTTTTCAGCTAAATCAACCCCACCCCCCACCCCCTTGCTGAAGCTGTGCTGAGAGGCCTCTCAGTATTCCTGTGTAAAGCAGCAGCAGCCTTAGTAATTCTAGCAGCTGTGAGAGCTAAATTGGGCAGGAAGGTCAACCTGAGCCATTCCCCTTATACACTGCTTTGTATGCAAAGCGCACCCCCACCCCCGAAAAAGAATCCCTAGAGCTGTAAAAACGCTGCAGGACAGAGGCAGACCAAGCCTGCAGAATCCTTTGAGGCAGCCTGCTGCGTTTTTTACCTTCCCAAGGTAGAGCTCCATTTCCTCGCCAGCCCCCCCCCCCAGCTGAGGAGGCTCTCTGCTCTGCCAACCAGCTGGCCCCTTCCAGTTGCTCCCTTGTTTTCCCTCTCACCAGGCTCCCTGGAAAGTGCGGTGTTTTTCTTCCCTCCACAGCTCACGCCTCACCTGAAAGGCCAATTGTGCTCCGAGCCCAGTTAAAAAGGTCCTGCAGGAACTTTGGCTTAGCTCTGCCGGGGGCCCTTTTCCAATCTAAATGGAGCTGAAAGGGCTCCTCTGTCAAGGGGGCTGAGTGCGCCCACGGCTGGCCTCTGGGCTTCGCCGCCAGGAGGTGAAACCAGATTTTGTGCCCATCCACAGCTTCACCCGCCCTGGGTGATAAGGCGCCTTTATTCAACTTGCTTGCTTTAGAGGCTTGGGTTCTCTTCAGAGCCAGAGCAGGGAATGTGCGGAGACTCCCTCTCCCACTTTAGCACATCTTGGGGAGCCCCAGGAAAAACACCACAGCCTCACCCTGGCTTCATAAGCAGCCATAAAAGGTAAAAGGAACCCTGACCATTAAGGGAACCGGTGATTGTCTGCAGACAGCTTCTGGGTCATGTGGCCAGCATGACTAAGCCGCTTCTGGCGAACCAGAGCAGCGCACGGAAACGCTGTTTACCTTCCCGCCGGAGTGGTACCTACCGGTATTTATCTACTTGCACTTGACGTGCTTTCGAACTGCTAGGTTGGCAGGAGCAGGGACCGAGCAACGGGAGCTCACCCTGTTGCGCAGTTTCGAACCGCCGACCTTCTGATCGGCAAGTCCTAGGCTCTGTGGTTTAGACCACAGCACCACCCGCGTCCCATTAAGCAGCCATAGCATTCAGAACCCAAAGAATCTTGGGAATGGTGGTCTTGATGCTAAGGTTTCTCCAACGTGATTCCTAGCCCTCCTTCACAGAACTGCAACTGGGAGGGTTCCATGGGAAGAAGGAATGACTATCCTGCCAGCTTAAGTCTGTAGCATGGTGCAGATGTGCCAGGCCAAATCATCTATGGCCTCCTTCCCCAAGCTGGTGGCCCCTGGAGGTTTTGGATGATAACTCCCACCATTGTATGGTTGTACTGGCTAAGGGCTGTAGTCCGAAGCATCCAAGGGCACCTGCTGGGGGATGTTTGGTCTGCTGGGTGGTGGTAAGATTTTCTGGGCAAGTGTTGGCCCAACAAAAGCTGCATCCATGTGGTTCTTGGGAAGCTGCCTTACCCTGAATCAAATCCCTGGTCCACCTATCTCGGTATTATCCACACCGACCGGACTGGCAGCATCCCTCCCAGGGTTTCAAATAGGGAGTCTGTTCTAGTCCTACCTGGATGCCATTGGGGATTGAGCCTGGGACCTTCTGCATGCCAAGCAGGTGTCCTGCCACTGAACTGCAGCCCATTCCATCCCGTAGCTTGGCTCTAAGGGTTTGTCCACATGGGACCAAAATGTGGGCTGCACCTCCATGTCGTCCGGAACCTTTTCCACTTTAAAGGCAGAGTTTCCCCCTGATTTAGACATTCCGAGGATTGAAAACCCTCTTCCTTAAAGGGGAAAAGATCCAGGATGGGGATGATGTCATTTGGACACTCCTACTTAATGGGAAGACTGGCCAAGGCAAGTCCACAATTTGTTCTGGTGTGGACAAGCCCTATGTCTATTATTACCTAATGTTGGAAGATCGAGGACATATAAAAGGACTTATTCATGCAGTACATAGTTAAATGAGGCAACCTGCTTCTACAGGAGGCAGTGATGAGCACCACCTTGGATGGCTTTAGGAGAGGATCAGGCACATTGGTGGAGGAGAGGGCTATCAATGGTTACTAGCCTAGATGGCTATGCCCTGCCTCCACAGTTGGAGGCAGCAGTGCTTCTGAAGACAAGCTATCAGCTCTTATAATTCTATGATTCTGTTCTATGAATTTCTTGCCCTCAATATTAGGCAGGGTTCACATGCTTCCTCCCCCTGCCAATCATTATTTTACAGCTAACCGTATTGCTGAGTAGCGGGGGGTGGGGGGGAAACACTTTTATTAGCTCTTCTCCTCCCTCCTATCAAACTAGGGCCACAGTGGCACAGCTATCTCCTTTTGGGACACTCTCCAGAAATGTGGCCTCTGAGGGTGTCAAGCTTGCCAGGGATTGGCTGCCCTCTTGTGATGGCTCCCAAGTGTTTGCCATGCGACTTGCCCCACCCTGCTGCAAACCTGCACCCGCTTCTCCCTCCCAGATGCTCCCACGAAACACAGCCAGGGCATGGAGACTGAGGGCTAGGCACAGGGACACCATTTCTGGTGGCGGATGTTTGCCTCAAGTCCCTTTTGGCAGCTTGACGACCCAGGGGGCAACCAGGCTCTTATCCTTCCCTCTGGAATTCCCCTAGTGGCAAGCAGGTTGGCTTTTGACATCATAAATATCCAAGGCCCCTCACACAAGGCTGTTCACTGTAACTTTCCCTGCTGCTACCTTGCGGACTTGAGCTCCTGCTCAGGGGTTCACCCAGCAGCGGTGGTAAGGCCTGGGGTGGGTTAAGAGGAGTTGGGGTGGGGTTCGGCTACAGTTCAGCAGCACAGATTCTTCTTTCTTTGCCTATCCCCACATTCCCCCCCCTGCTGCTGCCCCCCCCATAACTCCCAGCCTAGAGGCTGGTCCTGGCAGCAAAGCCTCTCCTCCTCCTCACACAAAGTGGCTCCTTGTCTGGCCTTCCCAGCAGTGGGCTGCGGAGAATTTCATGGAACCAGCTCCATTTCCTGACGGAGTTTTATTACATTCCCAACAGAAATAAATAAATAGGAGAGAAATGCGGGGCATCTTGGAGCCTCCTGAGCAGAGCAAAACTTGGGGCTTGCTGCAGAGGCTGTTCTCAAGAAACAAGCCCAGTGTGACAGGGGCTGAGGGGCACCACCACATGGATAAGTGGGGCCGCTTCTGGCCTGAGTCTCCTCCTGGGGCAGACCCAACCTACTACTGTTCCAGGGGAACAAGGAGGCTTCCAGCGAAATGGATTACTTAGTGGGCACTGCTCAGAATTGCTGCACTAGTTTCAGCTAGGAGAAGAATGTCCACTCTGTTTCCACACTTCCAACATCTTGTGGCCCCCCTTTCCTCAACCCCAAACACAGGAAGGGGATAATTTTTGTATTGTGGGGGCAGGGGGAGAAGGATGTAATGTACAGTTGTGGGGGACTCAACACTGGAGGTGCAGAAACCATAGCTGTTTTGCACTTGTGAGGACCTGTATACATTCTGCTGGTCTGGCGGATGCTTCCAGGGTGGAAGATCTTCTCAAGGCGAGCCCACTGGCTGCCGTACCTCTTCTCCCAAGATTGCCTTGTTGAGAGGGTTCCCCCACCCTCCCTGGAAAGCAAGTGAGTTACTCCCAGTTAGAGGGAGTAACTACTAGTGTCACCTACCCAGGGTGGCAGTGGGGGTGGCACAGCCCTTGTTTGGGGAGCTGCCCCAGCCATAGTGAAAATGTGGCAAGAGAGGAGGGGAGCGGGGAAGGAAAACCCTTACACTAGTATTTGACCGCTACACTGCTCAGTTTCAAATGCCATTTACAATGGACGTGATCCTGAATGCATCAATTGCATCTTGATTTGAGTTGTAGCATGCTCTGTGTGGGGCTGTTCCTAAAAATCTCTTGGAAGCTTCAATTGGTGACAAATTATGCTGCTAAAATCCTGACCTCTCTGCAGTATCAGCTGCGCTGCCTGCAAGTTCATTTGCAAGTGCAACTCAATGTGCTGTTTATCAGTTTCAAAGGACCGTCTCCTCCCATGTGAATCTGTGCATCCTTTAAGAGCAGCTGTGGTGGCCCATTAGTGTGTTCTGTTGCTCTGTGTGGTTTGTGGCAACATGCAACACGGCTTCCTCAGCCGCAGAGCCCTGTCTGTGTAGCAGAAGTTATCAGGGCTCTTCAACCTCAGGTCCTTATATGCTGTTGGCCTGCAGCTCCCAGCATCTCTGCTCCTGACAGTGTTTGAAGGTTGCTCTCTTTAAAGGAAACTTTTATTCTGGTTTTTTGGTTTTTTTATTAAAGATTTTCTTGTTTTTCAGATGTGTAATGTCTCTCGTATTTTTTCCATGTAACATTTTTACAAATCAGTTTCATTCTGTTGCTCTTTAATTTTATTAATTGCTAGCCCTGCCTTCCCCGCTTTAGACTTGAATTGTGTTGGCATTTATTTAGTTGTTGAAGGGGGGGGGAGGTTGCCGTTAATTTTATTTTTGTGTTTGTTCTTACACTTTGGATGTATCCTTTCGGAGGGAGAAAGGCCAGATATATTATTTGTATAAACAAACAAGCAAAACAACTGCATCAAAGCAGAGCTCTTTGCAAAACCAACAGCCACCTTAGATTAAGAGAAATATTGCTAAACCTGAGCTGCTAGCCACCCTAGAACAGATGCCAGGTCAGAACCCGTGTAATGGAGTGGAATAAGGACTTAGTTATGGGAGATGCTTGATGGGACAAAGTTTCAGCTTCTCCAGCATTCAGCAACTCACCTGCTCTCACTTCCCTGTATTCCCAGATCCCACCCTGAATAGCTGCTCTCCTGCAGCTAGAGCCAGGCTTTGAGAGAGTGGAAAGAAAGATGATAAGCACCACCAGTGTCAGCAGTTTCTTCTAAAGCACAGCAGAAGTCTGCAGAAGCAGTTGGATCCCCTTTCAGCGATAAAAGAGAATGAGAAGGAAAAGAGAATGGAATGAGCATACACCTGCCACGAACAAAGACAGATACTCCTTCCGAAAGAAGTGCACGGAAAAAGAGAATCACTGTCTCGAGCCAATGTGTGCTCACTGCACCTCAGCTTAATGCAGGAATGTAAAAAGGACCTGGCTGCTTGGATCAGGCCAAAGACCTACAAAGTCCAGTTCAGCATCGTGTTTCCCACTGTGCCTCAAGAAGCTTATCATTGCTACCTTTTTGAAGGATCAAATTCCAGAGTTTTAACTAGGCGCTGTGTGAAGTTTCGTTGGATGACCCCACGGTATTAAGAGATGATAGTACATATTCTGAGAGAGGGAGAAAAGCCTCTCTCTAGTCACTTTCCCATCTTTTTATACACATCTGCCATGACCTGTTTTTTTCTGAACTAAGTAGCAGCAAATATGTTTTCACCATTTCTCCTAGGATATTCAATCCAGATCTTATCTGGGAGGAAGAGGGAGTCTTCCCCCTCCATCAGGATCTTTCTGTCCCTGTCCCCACTTTCAAGTTTCCTACATCCAGATAAAGTTTGAGAGAGAAACGGATTGCTCTTGCCACCACAAGCTACTTTAATGTCCAGCTCTCTGGGCATCGGGTGGACCCTCCTGTTGCCACCTCAGTGGAAACACCTCAAAGTGACATCTCTTTACAAACATTGGGTGAAGAGCTACTCTCAAAGACCCCTTTATTATTTTATTTGACTTCCCTAAAAATGCAGTGGGTCTTTTTCGCTTTAACCACCACCACCACCACCACCACTACCACCTGAATAATTTACCATGGCTGGACATGAGGGAATTTGCAGTGGAAAAACCTTCAGCTATGCTAAACCAAAATATTATTTACCATTTACTTGGTAATGCTGATCTCCGCCTTCTAAGGAAAAAAAATATTGATTTAACAGGACTCAGCCGTTTGGGGGTTCTGCCAGTGCCACCTAAATATAGCTGATGAAAAACAAATGGATCCTGTAATGGGGGGGGGAGTGAAGAGGATGGGGGGAGAAACATACAGCATTCCTCCAACTCTGTTTTATCAAACTAGGTGGGGAGAGGCCTTTTTCATCCAGAGAAGAGGCGTGCTGCAGCTCAGATACACCTGACCCTTTGTTTAAAGGCAAGAATTTGCTGCTCCCGCCCCCCATCGTCTGAAACATCACTGCACTTGAGCAGGAAGGTGGGTGTAATTGCCTACAGACAGCGTGACCTGGAACTGCCAAGAACCTGGCTGGCTTCATGCCTTTCCTGGCCTTCTCTACTTTGCCCAGTTTGAGAACAACAGGATCCTGGAGAAAGAGGACCCTCTGCAGCTGCATTCTGAGCGGGGTTAAGAGCCAGGAATAGCCACACGCCCATGAGATTTTTAATGGCACAGGTTTTCATGCTCTAGAGCTTTGCCAAAACAAATTTGTTAGTCTTTAAGGTGACAGAAGACTCTTTTGTTTTTGCTGCAACAGACTAACGCGGCTACCCTTCTGGAAGAAGTCCACGAGATGGAGAGCAGCTTGAATGTTGCCACTGTGAGCTGTTTACTCTGGAGAAACCCTGCGAGAGTTCAAAGCTCCAAGCTGAGGTGTGTTGCCAGGATTGGCCATAAGCAAGAAGGATCCGATAGCAGGGTCTGCCTTGCTGTTGTTTGCAGGTAGGGGGAAAATGGAGTTGGGTTGGGTCAGAGTGGTAGTTAGCAGAAGGGACCTTTTGAAGTAAGCGTCCTTGAGGCATTAAACTGAAATGGAAAGGCTGCATGGACCGAACCATTCAGCCCTCCAGAAAGGATAAAGGGCCTACAAGTAGGAACTGGCCTTGCAGAGTTAACAAGCCCAGCAGCTTGGAAGTGAGAGACACAAATTACATAGTGCAAGAGAGCGGACCTTCTACAGTATCTGATCCTCTCTATGGAGAACACACTGGTTAGAAAAACCAGGACTAAGACCACAGAAACAGGGGAAGACTTGGTGACTTTATGTTTGCAGACCTTCTAGGTAAGTTTCAGGAAAACAATAGCCAGCAATGTGCCTCTTCCACATGTCCACAAGTTTGTTTCTAATCCAGAGCATCAAAAGTTAGAATTGTGAAGCTCCTCATCTTCTTTTCCCCCCATTATGGCTATTGGGGGGGGGGAATTATTGGTCTGCTCTGAATCCTCAGTCAGCTTCCTTTGGATGTTCCCAAGTTCTAGTGTTATGATAGGGAGGAAAACTTTTCTTCTCTATCCACTTTCTGCATTCCATGCATACTTTTATACATTTCTATCATGTTGCCTCTTACTTGCCTTTTCTGTAAACTAAAAAGCCACAAAGACTGCAATCTTTCCTTGTAGGGGAATCCTTCCACCCCCTTGATCATTCTGGTTGCCCTTTTCCAACACTACAGTACCCTCTTAGAGGTGAGGCAAGCAGAACCGTAGACACTATTCCAAAGTGAGTGCACCACACGTTTTCTGTGACAGCATTATGATATCAGCAGCTTATTTTCCATTCCTTTGCTAACAATCCCTGGCACGCAATATGCCTTTTTTTACAGCTGTCACATGATGGGTCAACATCTTCACTGAGCTATTCGTGACTCCAAGGTCTCGCTCCTGGTCAGACACCACCAGCTCCAGAAACTGTGAGTCCTTGATCACATAATCTATGGCATTCTTCTGAAACTTTTAACAGCATTAATGCCAGCATTTCTATGTTGTAATGGGTATTTTGATTCATTTAAAACTTTGCATTTTACAGCATACATTTGTGTACCATGGGTTTTGAGTATGTGGTGCAGCCTTTCCACTGAGCTGCAGGAGAGGAGAAGGAGGACTGCAGGGCCTCTCCATCAGTGGTGTGGAAAGAGCAGCAACTTTTGGCACCTTCTCTTCTGGAAATCTTTTGGCTTTAGCTGCTCATTACAATAACTTTGCTAATTTAAAGAAATAGTGCCCAGATTTGGATTTTCCTCCTCCCTCCCCAACCCATTTTCCTTATGCGTCATGCTTTTTTAGACAATAAGCCTTGAGGCTAGAGACTGTGAGTGAGTATACATTGTGTGATAATGTGCATTCAAGGCTGCAGATAGGCATCTTTTTGGGATGCTGTACACACAATGCCATCCCCATGTTGTCTCTGTTCCACTGTATTTGCCAGTCCAAAGCACATTCTGCTGAAACGGTTTTAATCTGTTTTGTGCCGAGAATGCATTTCTCAAGCACTTCCTGCCTACATGTGCATTTGTGAATTATGCTTACAACTTCCACAAACTAAAATGCATTCACCAGCCCTCTGCTGATGCACTTTAAATAAGCTTTCCAAGCTGAGTTCAGCCTCTCCTCTCTACCCTCTTGGGTAAATTTAGGGACATCCCTTGCAAGGTCTTCTTAGATAAGGGACTTCAATTTTTTTTTTTCAATTAGGGAACTGAAACCAGGATCTTTCATATGCACGCATATGCTCCACCATGGAGCTTCACCCCACCTAATCCCCACAGATACCGCAAACAAGTCAGTTTCCCCAGCTCTCTCTCTCGAACAATTTTTTAATGAGAAAAGGTTGCAGGACATTTGGTGTCACCTAAGTTTTGCTGATGCAGGGGAAAGCCTCCAACACCAACTAGATGAAGTAGGTGAGTAATTTTGGTGAAGACCACATGGGATTTCCTGGAGACATGCATGATCAGCAAGAGCGGAGAAGGGGGGGGGGAATCTGTGCCCCCAAAGGGGGCTAAGTCAGCATCAGGAGCAGCAGCTACCTATTCTCCTCCTGCTGCTGCTCAAAAGAAGGATCCCATCTGAGGAAGAACAAGGGAAGGCCTGAAGCTGGCAAAGGGAATAAAGACGCTGCGGTGTAAAGCTGCCTCAGGAGCCTCCCCTGAATCCCTGCTCGAAGAACACCTCATTCATCACTTTTAAACAGAAGTGGCTCACTTGCCGGAGATGGGGGCGGGAGGACAAAAGGAGCAACAATGGTTGGCGCTTGCAGCCAGGCAGCCAGCCGCAAACTGACACATCGGCCTACTGTTCCAGCTCACTGGGGAAGAAAGGAATTTCTGTATAAATCACACCAACCATCAGGTTTCTCACTTCCTGTCCACAGGACTTCCCGGCTCTCAGAATGCAACAGCATGAAGGGACTCTCTCTCTATATATATATTGGGGGGGGGGAATGGGAGAAGTTAATTTTTAAAAAAATATATATAAAGAGAGTCTCTTTCAGCTAATAATGAAGCGAACAGTATATTAAGAAGGAAAACATTCAGCATTAACCTTGGAGGGGAAAGACAGAAAACCTTTTCATAATGCCCTGGCCACAAAACAACAACTGCCAGTTAAATCAGCTCCGTTCCCCAGCCACTGCCAACATAAACTCAGGGGCAGCCATAGGAGAACATTTGAACCAACATCTTCCCCTCTTCTCACTCCCCTCCCCTCCCCAACCAGGAAATAAAAAATAATAACAACTCAGGAAGGCTGAAGGTGCCAGCCATAGGCTTCAGAGCCGCACTTCTGCTGGCGCCACAGAGCAAGCAGACTCTGCTTTGAGCTCCAGACATGGCAGTGGAACCATAAAGAGGAGGTTGCCCTGCTCCGCACTTCTTAATTCGCCTTTGCTACAGGCTGTCAGTCAGGGAGGATGAGAAGTCCTTGCTGTGAAAAGGCACCCATGCAATTCTACTCGGGGGTGGTGGTGGGGAACAGTAAGCGTGGAAGATGGATTTGAAAGATCCATTCGGAAGAATGACACCTCAATGCGGGGACTCTGGTTTGGGGTGAGGAAAGAACTCTTTCCCCCTCCCCGTGTTAAATTGGGCCACTGACGTATTCTGTTTAATCCCTTCCCCTGTATGGTTCAACTTGGCTCCGAATGAATAATTTCCAGAGTGTGAGTGTGTGCTACTCTGTTGCAGCAGAAACAAAGCATCTTAAAGACCAACCTTTAGAATTTTAGGGATAATTTTTATTATTATTATTATTATGGTATAAGCTTCCCCGGACGACAGGCTACCTTGACAAACACATGAAATGTTACCCCGCCACAAAATGTAGTGGTGGTCTTGATGGCCGTTGGTGCTTCTGAAACTGAATCGGACAAACTCATGGAAGAGGAGGAAGACGAGATCTAGTAAATTAGTTGTACTTAACATTTACACAGACAGCACCTTCCAATCCTCAAAGTTCTCACAGGCATCTAGTTTTAATCCTCACAACCACCCTTTAAAGTTAGGAATAAACATCTCCCATACTGCGGATGGAGGAAAGAGAGGCAGGGCAGACTGCCATGCAAGTCTGTTAATAGCCATAAGTCACACTGGCTAAAGGACACACACACACACACACACCAGTTGCTGAGGGACAGCTTTTATCCACTGCTTGTGGACTGGATGGCTTGATACACTGGGCTTCCTCTTGGATGCTGGATAGCTAAGAAAGTTAACAGGACTGTAGGAGTTACCAGCTTGTAAGCAGAGTGGCTGATCTCTGATAAGTCCTGCCATAGGGTGGAGGCAGGGATGCTAGGCTGCCAACTTGTTTTTTAATGCAGTATCAATAGTGACACAGTACAGGGCAGAGAGTATAAAATAAAGAGGCAGCCAAGTGAGAGGGAAATGGAAATTGTGCATGAATGCAGTGACGTATTTTGGTTTTGTTTATTTATTTTCCATTTACTTCCAACAATTTGTATGCTGTTTAATGACAGCTATTTCTAAGTGTTGCACAAGAGACCCAACACAATAAAGGCTAGAAAGCAGTTAAAACTGTAAAATCAGAATTCAATTTAAAAGTCTGCTGGAGTTTTTAGAAGAAGAATCCAGTAAGCACCAGAAGTTCAACATTCAACATGGTGTGTGTGTGTGGCCTATGTGACCTCAAGTGGTCTGAGGACTTAAAGAACTAAGACAAGACCTTTCAAAAATAAAAGGAGGCAAGTTCTGAGTTCGATATATTGCAGCAAGAGGAGAACACATCACTGAGGTGCTCTGGGAGATTATTACAAGCAGAAAGAAGGAAATGGACAGAGTTATTTAAGACAACCTCGGACCTTTGTAGAGCTGGCAGTGGTGGAGTTAGATGAGAAAAGCTTGTAGGTTGTGTGTGTGTTTGGCTCAGGGGAAGAGAGGTCTTTTGGCCTCTTTTTAGCCCTGAGGAGGAGCAGGAAGTGAGGTCCTTAGTGGAGCTACAAAACCACCCAGACCTCAAATTCTACATGGTGCAAAATGAAAGTGCGGTGCCTCAAAATAAAGTATACCATTAACTAATCAACCTGAAGCAGGAAAACCAAGGTAGACATATTCAGTTATGTCAAATCTGCACAATTCATTCCAATTAAGGGAGTTTTGACCAATATGCCCTGAAAAAAATGGGTGCCTGGATTTGAGCAGAGAACCTGACTGAAATTAAGCAGGTGGAGGAAAGAGATAAAACTGATAGCTAAGGCAAGTTATCAAAGGATCTGCCGCCACCTGCTGGTTTATACAGTTCTTCAGAGCCACAGGGTGGCTGCAACCCACCCACCACCACAGCATGAGGAGGGATCTGTTCTCTCAGCTTGCACACACACTGATACATGCAAGGAAGGTTTATTATTTCTAGTAAAGTGCAGGAATATAACATTGTCACAAAAAAGCACCTGGCATAGTGAGTTATTTAGAAGGGATTTGAATACAATGCCCCAAACAGTATATTCGCAATCAGGTAATCCAAATTCTGCACCAAGGAAACAGAACATCAATCTTACAATAAGCTTCTTTTCTGCAGTGAAGAGGGGGTGTTCTATTGCCCTCCATTTCGCCTGAGCGAGCCAGGCATATCCTCCAAACAGGTTCTCAAATCCACAGACACAGGATAGATAGGTTTTGTCTGGCAGGACATCAGTCAGAGCATCAACGTTCAGAATAATATACAGAAATGTGATGATGATGCCTTGCTAGGCAGCAACACCCAAATTGGTCGCACTACCAAGGCAAATGGGGGACAGTGGCTTCCATCTACAGACACTCATCATCCACAATGAATGGACACCAGCCATGCTGACATTTTCAGCTCAGAAATGAGTTTTATTTTCTACAACTAGGAAAACAACATTTCTAACAATCTTCTCAGATAAGCAAAAACCATGGCCACCTACTTTCACCAGCCGGAGTCCAGGGCAATGAGGGAAGTTAAGGAAAACTGATTTGTTTCCAAACAGAGTAATCTGTTACCTGTGTCTGGCTAACAGGAGAAAGGAGTTCCTTCAAAACAATGAGAGAATGCTGAGCAAATACCTTCTTTTCAAAAGAAGTCTCTTAGTAGACTTGACTTCAGAATGCCACTACAAAGTGTACATACAAATTGTGCTTTTATATATTAAACAACCATATAATCTTCTCAGCTCCAAGTACTCAGAATGAGGAAGGCCTTTTCCATATGGATTTTCAAAAACAAGAAGGCAGTTGTTGGCTGTACTGAAGTGGGATCCCTTCCCATTATAGAAAAGTTTCTTCCTTCTGCATAGATGGATTCTGAAATGACCAGCATATCATGACTCAAAAAACTCCATGCATTTCAGTTTGTCAGGACATGGTCGCTTTTAAAAAATGACAGCAATTATAACACAGTGACCTATATTACATAGTGAGCTATCAAGGGCCCAAGCCCTTGTATCATTGCAATGTAATGGCTAGAACGGTCAGAAATCTTAAAACAGGTACTAATTTTGAGATAGGAAACCAAAAGTTAACCTTTAAACCTTCACACTCAAGGAGATACAAACAAGTACCATACCCCAAATCTACACCTAATACATACCACAAAGGGCCACTGTTAACACATTTTCCTTTGCTCAGTAGTGTCCACCATTTTCAGCTCCCTCTTTCAATAGCTTCCATATTAGTATGGACCAACCTACGTACATATATTTGAAACTCCATGGGGGAAAGGCATAGCTTTCCCCTTCTCCAATCACTACTCCTCCATTCTCAGTCAACCCCCCACAACTGCTTTGCAGCCTAAAAAAGGGATGTTGGGGTATAGTTGCAGGTGGTAGCGTGTAACATCTAGATTGGTCTAGAGCCTCAGTTACTCGATCTGGCTCTTGTCCACTGGGTTCCTGGCTAGCACAGCAACCTACAAATCTGTTTGGCAAGCCAAGTGTGCTGCTGCCTGTGGGTGTGCATAAAGAAACAGATTGTGTAGGAATCTCACTATACCAAGTGACTGAAGTGCCATCATGTAACACCCAGCCAGCTTCACACCTCCTCTTGACACCACCCAGAAGTCACAAAGAAATCCCATTCAGAAGGAAACAAGAGTTCAGCCAAGAATCTTCTGTCATCCTCTTTGAATACACCATGTCTAAAGAAGTCTTTACACCGAGCTAATTAAAGAGAGAGAAGTAGGCAAGCTGAAACCCTTTAGCCATTCTGAGTAGCATTTGATCGGCTTGTCTCTTTCATTCCCACCCAGTGGCTACACAATCAAAAAGGAGGCTCGAGGGGCTGCACAGATAAGATGGGCTGGATCAGCTTCAAAGAAAGGATGCTCCTGCAGGTACCAGAACAGCAGGCAGCTACTAGGACATTCTGCTGAAAAAAACATTTCCTGCTTTCGCCAACAAATCTGCATGAACAACTAACCTAATTACACTAGCAACCACGTTCCAAATTCAAATAATCTTATCCTTACCAACCCATTCTAAGATCACACGCATACATGTTTTTAAGTGAATTCCATCATTCTGCAACCCTAACCCACTTGTTCATAATAAAGTTGTTCAGGTTTTGCTCTAGCTGCTTTTAACAACCAAATATGAACGTTGAACACTTATCCTATCACCTGCTAAAACAGTGACTAAAACAGAAAGCAGGCTCTGTTCACCTAGGGTAGCCAACCATGTAATCTGGAACGACAGTGAAAAATGCAGATGCTTTTTGTTGTAATACCATTATCTAAATCACTGTATTTTCAGAGCTGGTTGTTGATAAATGAAAGTCACTTTTTATCCTGCATTGTTGAGTGGCACAGTATAAGAGCTGCTACTGATAGGTAAATTTACATGATGTTACAGTCTTAAAAAGGGGTTCATGCCATCATTGGCAAGGATTCAAAAGACTAGCTCATTTTAAGAGTGCAAAGGACTCTGTGCTTGTGTTTCTTGAACAGCACATGCAATGCAGCAAGCTGATTTTGAAGCTGTTGGGTATTTTTGCAGTGGAGCTGAGAAGAAGTTTGCAATAGTTCTAGGAAGAAAGGTCAGGGAGGCAGAGCTATTACTTAAGTTACCATCCACTTACAGACATTCTCATTTCAGGGCAGGGTAAGGGAACTAGCCAACCATGTTTCCTGCTTACAGTGGAATTCTGCTATAATGAACCATGAGAATTGGCATTTGTATCTAGCAGGAACAGGCAGCTGCCCAAGACGTTACCAAGATCTACCAAGAACAGTAACATAAAACAGCCTCAACAACCTGATGCCATCCCTGATGCTTTGGACTACAAATCTCATCAGCATCAGCAAACATGACTGTATGATGCTGGAGGTGATGGGAGTTGTAGTGCAAAATCTTTGGATGGCACCAGGCTGGCAACGGCTGCCCTAAAGTTGGGTGGGGTGGTTAAGGACTATGGAAGTAGTAGGAAGATGAGGTAGATACAGTGCATGGCAACAGAGTCATATTTCTGCTCAACATCCAAGGGGTGAAAAAAAGAGAGAGAGTAGCAGAGGACATGTCCTGCCTTATAAGCCCTACAAAAATCTAGAGCAAGTTCCAGAGTGCAGTTGTCTCAGAGGACAACTCCCTTGGCACCTGCCTACCACTAAATGCCTTGCTGTTCATACATGCTCCTGCTACAATCTTCAGACAACACAAGGAGGGAGCTTAGCACCAAGATAAAACTGAGAAACAGAAGAGGCTCAGAGCCTGTTACCTTCAGGTTTTCTCCTGCTGAAGGAGAGTTGCGGGGGCCAAACATCCTGCAGCACATTTCCTTCTCCTTCAGCATGTAATTTCTGTAACAGCTGCAAAACAGGGAAAACTGTATGATCACAGGGTGTCCACCAGCCGAGTTTAAAAAACAACAAGGTCTTGAAATTAAGCCTGCCCAGAACTCGAGTGCTTCCTCAGAAATAGGAGGCAAACTGTTCCAGCACAAGCACAGCAGCTGCATCTGGCCACTTTTTGCCCTTATTTCAATGCTCAAAACCCCCATCTCCTTCAGCATAGCTCACCGTGTACACAGCTTTGGTGATGTCTGAAACAAAGGCTTCGCCAAACAAAAGTCAAACTCAGCATTTAGTCTCAACTGTAGAACATGGCCAATATGATTAAACTTAAGTTATAGTTATTCATGAACAGAGCAGCTGAGAGATTTTGCTTTATGCATGAAATTCCACAATACTTTTCAGTTGTGTTTATACCTATGCAGAACACCCGCCAAGTATGGAAGCCAGAGCTGCTCTTACTAAAACACTGCCAAAAATCCATGTGTTCAGGAAAAGCAAGGCTCACAGATCTGGCGATCTATTTCCAAGCATGTTTCAGGGGGGCAGCTTTTGAGGACCAAGGAATTCCCCCTCATGGCCTGTGCACTTCCCAGCCCAGGGAAAGGAAGCACACAAATGAGGGAGCAGAGGGTCAGGTGGCCTCGGCAAGCAGAGGTTTTGCCAGTCTTTTGCTGATGAAGAAAGCCATCTTAAGTGAAGGATAAACATGGCCTAAGCCTCTCCCAACAGAAGAGGGAAAGGCTGCCTGTCAAAGGACAGGTAAGGCAAAGCCAAGCCACAAAGGCTAGTTGCCTCCATAAAGCATTCATTCAAGGAGAGGCAGGGAATTGCCTCGCAGTACTGCCATGGAAGGAGAACTCTATTCCCTCACACTCTACATACAGCACTGTCATGGTTTTGATAACCACACAGGTTTTTTCTGGATTAAACAGAACTCCTGAGGGTGCTCCCAAAGGTGGAAAGGGGGTGGCACCCATGTACCTGAGGCTTACCCCACTGCAAGGACATTGACCAGTTTACAGAGTTTGGGATTCAATACCCCTAAAAGCTTCCCGTGCTCCCACTTACTCAGTCTGCTAGACAGTTTAAACATTATAAGAGTATAGAGGCTTCAACACCACAAGGAATAAATCTGGACAATTATATACAGAGAAAGCAGTTCACAGCTAACCAATTATCCTAACTTCAGTAAAGAAATAGCTCCCTCACCTGGCCAGCTTCTTCAATTCATTGTTAATGCAATGGTTGAAGGGCTGCTGTTTCTGAGCTTTCACCAAAAAATCCCGAGCTCTCTCATACTCTGCCAGAGAGAAACATGCCTAGTAGACAAAAGAATCATCATTATTGTTTAATTTGGTATGCTGTTCCTCAGGGGGGTGGAAATCCCAGCATGGCCACAAAGTTAACAACTAGCAAAGAGAAAACTCACCAGTACTAGCAATGTACAGAAAGCCCAGGAAAGGAAAAGTTGCGCATGGTCAGATGTGCACCTGGAAACTTTAAACTTGTTGAATTGACCGCCCTAAATAAATCCTGGCTGCCATCCCATAGATAGAATGATGCATGCAGAAGGGAGCTCAAGAGGAGCTTTGAGTGGGAGGTGTACCTCAGCCTTATCCTGCAAGGGATACTGTGCTCAGCCTGGCAATGATATACAAAATGTTCATGGGAAGGAGTTGCAGAAGTGTTTGAAAGTGGAAAAGATTTTGCCGCAGAAAGTGCTTGCAGAGGCTAGATGGACACCTGCAGTGGGAACACTGCATCTCCTGCATTAGACTAAGTGGCCTCTGGGGTTTCTTCCAGGTTCAGGTCCATTATTTTTATTGCCCACATCCCCCCATCAGGCATTTGAAACTTGGAAGACTAAGTCCACAGTTGCTCCTCCTCCTCACCTGAGCACACCTGAAGAGGGCTTTGGCATTCTTCTCATCCAGCTTCAAAGCCTTCTCTCCGTAGGCAAGGGCCCGAGCTGGCTGCTCTAGTTTCAGGTAAGTAAAAGACAAGTTCAGGAAGACCAGAATCTTGGCAGCATCAACTCTGACTTGCTCAGCTTCTTCAGCATTCACACGGAGCAGCAGCGAAGAGGCCTAATCAGGGATCGCAAACAAGTGCTGTCATTTTATAGTCTTACACAAAACTTATATTGACTGTTGTACACATTGGGCTGTGTGGATATTGACTTAGGAGACAAACATTTCCACGTATGAAAAACACTATCAAGCAAAAATATTCTCTCGTTTGAGGGCCAGTTACATATTTACATTGTAGATTTTGGAAAAAAATATGGGCAAAACTGTATTTTTTCACTTTAGGAATCTAAAGCAACTCTGATGGGAAAGCATGAAATAAGATTACAATGAACAATTAAGGTGGTTAAGTGACAATATAGTGCTTTTAAACTTTTCAACTAAACATTCTCTTCCATCAGATCACCCACTCCTTTCTCATTTTATATTTCAAAATAATTCCAGGAGGTGATCAATTCCCATCTCACACTTTGGGGGCAACACATTACAGCAGCCTTCATCAATCTGGCAGTCCTCCAGATGTTTTGAGCTACAACTCCCATCAGCCCAGTCAGCACACTTTGTCTTGGGCAGCTAACAAAGGAAGCAGGGTGAAGGAGCGAGTAAATAAGTATAATATGCAAAGTTAAGTGTGCTGGCCAGGGCTGATGGGAGCTGTAGCCCAAAAGCTCTGGAGGGTACCAGACTGGTGAAGGATGACCTAAATAAGTTCTCTGATTCTGGAAACCAGCCCTGCCCTTTGCTTGATCAGAAAAGACTACCAAGGTACAAATACTAGCATGATGGGGAATGGAAAATAATTGCAAAAGGCCCAAATTAAACTTCCCTTTTGCATTACTTGTGACTCACTTGCCCCCACCCTTCTCATTTGCTTTACTTACCCGTTTGTATCTTTCTCTGGCATCCATGAAGTGCTCCTGTCGGAAGAGGTAATTGCCAAATTCCCGCTCGGTTTCAGCCACCTTCAGCACTTTCTGCAGTGGAAACTGGGCCTGTTGCTCCTGTGAAGAGAAGCCACAATCTGGTCATGGAGGTTTGTATTGCCTCCACCCCAATGTTGCACACCGTCCCAATCTCTGAGTGCTGCAATATTCCAGGGATTCCAGGTTTCTTTAGAATGAGGGACATCTGAGAATGTGGTGTCTGTATGATATATGGTTTATTTATACATATATACAATCTGAGCCTACAATGGAGGGGTTCACAGCAATAACACCCTTGAAGTATTGCTTCTCTCAGTCACAGCCTTTGATTCAAATAGAAAGCAGGCATAGCTCCATCTCCCAGCTTGGAGCCTAGCTTCTAGCTCACTCCCCATTCTGGCCTTTGTCTTTCTAATCACCAGTGAGTTGTATGGTGCTTTATAGTATCTTTTAAAAACTGCTTGGTAACCATCTTTGGTGAAGAGTGATACAGAAGTCTCTTAATAAAACTAAAGAAAAACTAGCAAACTTACAGGAGTCAGATTAAAGAACTCGTCAGATTCTGCTGAGTCCAGAAAGTCCAGAAGCTCAATCTCAAACAAGACTGTGGCATTGGGAGGGATCAAAGGAGGGCAGCCCGCAGCTCCAAAAGCGTATCTTGGCTTGAACAAAAATCTTGCCAGTTCTCCTTTCTTCATTGTCAGCAGACCAATCTCCATTCCTCCAAGAGTGATGTCTGGGAAAGCAAAAAAGAGCAAGGTTTATTTCTCAAATGTATGCACTGCAGTACTAGTTATAGTGGAAGACATCCTCCTTGATCCAAGGTGCAATTCAGATTGGGCCTGACCCAGGACAATTTGGCCCCAACTCAGGTCCCCAGAAAAATCAAATCTTTGGATGCATGAAATTTGGAGAGCTATCTTAGCCTCCCTCTTAAAGGATCCCAAATAGTTTGCTTACTATCATAGAAACTAGGCATGAATGCACCTAACAAGTCCAGTTTTTATATTTAAGTGCTAGTGGACACACACTATTTTATTATCTCTTAGGAACACATGGTCATTCTGAGCTTACCTTCACCAAGTTTCATGAGTCTATGATTCCTCCTGTAGCAGTTTGTGTCAAAGGGTCTGTCCATGTGTTCCAGGTAACCTGAAAATTTCACTGAGAAAGTTAAAAGTTAGAGGAGAGTAAATCAGTTTCAGTTAGGAAGGTTGAACATAGTTTCTATTTTTATCCATAACAGACAACTACTACAGTGGTACCTCTGGTTACGTACTTAATTCATTCCGGAGGTCCGTTCTTAACTTGAAACTGTTCTTAACCTGAAGCACCACTTTAGCTAATGGGGCCTCCCGCTGCTGCCGCGCCAGCACTGCACGATTTCTGTTATCATCCTGAAGCAAAGTTCTTAACCTGAGGTACTATTTCTGGATTAGCGGAGTCTGTAACCTGAAGCGTATGTAACCAGAAGCGTATTTAACCCGAGGTACCACTGTATGTGTTTATCTGAAGAAGTGTGAATACACACGAAAGCTTATACCAAGAACAAACTTAGTTGGTCTCTAAGGTGCTACTGGACCATTTTTTTAGTTTTTATATATATATTTTGACTGCATCAGACCAACACGGCTACCTACCTGAATCTAGACAACTACTAGCAATTCCTGTTTCCAATAAACCATGCTGTATTGTCCCAGGAGCTTGCTGAGAGCACATAAATTTCATTCATTACGGAAAAATTGCAAAATTAGAATTATAGTGTAGCATTTGCTCATGCTTTTTCAGGTTCTGTAATATTCATCAAACTACATTTTCCTGCATTCATTTAAAAACCTGAAGGCAAAAACCTAAGGGCTCCCCAGTAGCCTTAGAAGCTACTCACAGCAAAACAGACTTTCCCAACCTGCTGCCTGGGTCCCATGGGTCTGATAGGAATGGTGGTCCATAATACCCGAAGGGCAGCAAGGTGGGGAATATTACATTAACATCTAAAGGACCTGTATGACAAAAGAGTACCTGCTCACTTCCACCATACTCTTGGGTGCTAAAAAGCGCAAAACAGCTTCAAACTGGGAGTTTGGGGTTGCTTATTAAATGGAAACCTCTCCATTCTTAAGGAAATCAGCCCTGAGTGCTCACTGGAAGGACAGATCCTGAAGCTGAGGCTCCAATACTTTGGCCACCTCATGAGAAGAGAAGACTCCCTGGAAAAGACCCTGATGTTGGGAAAGATGGAGGGCACAAGGAGAAGGGGATGACAGAGGACGAGGTGGTTGGATAGTGTTCTCGAAGCTACCAGCTTATGAGTTTGACCAAACTGCGAGAGGCAGTGGAAAATAGAAGTGCCTGGCGTGCTCTGGTCCATGGGGTCACGAAGAGTCGGACACGACTAAACAACAACAACAATTAAATGGAAACCACAAACAAAATCTACAGTATACACCCATGAGATTTTAGGTCATTGGCTAAATACTTAATCCATGCTTGGCTAAAGTACTAATACCACTCTTATTTAAATGTTAACATTCAGATTCAGAAAGCTACCCTCAACATTGCTAGAATTAGCTTGTGAGGGAAAGTGCACAGGGATTCCTTCCACATAGTCCATATTAAATCACACATTAAAGTGCTTCTTGGGGGGTTATAAAGGGAATTAATGGAAATCAATAACTTGTGGTATAAACCACCATTCAAATGTCAAACTGGATGGTGCAGATGTCAACTGAAAAGACAAGTTAACTTGTTAAAAGAACAAAATCCACTTTAATTTGCGCCAAGACCAAACTAGGCATGAACATGTCTAGTTTTTTTCTCATTTAAACAACAGAACTGTGGTGCAGAGTGCTCATCCTTTCCCCTTCATCAACATGGTCCTGATCCACATTCTCACACCCCAGCTCCTATTGGTCCCACAAGGCAGCTTTTGGCAAGAGGAGGGACTAACATCCAGGCCACAGCAGGAAAGGGGACAGTGGCTATTCAATGCAATACTATGCATTTAGAGGGCCTTGGTAAGCCTGCTTAACACCACAACCATAGACTTGTCAGCACAAGGTTCTTTTACCTAATATGGATGCATCAGGAGGCACCGTTTCACCAGAGCCGGCACGGATAATCTCTTTCAACACTCCATGGTCTCCAGTAACATCCTGCATCCGTTGACCCAGCCGGTGGTAAGGAGACTTTGGAAAAAAGGGTATGGCAAAGCATAATGTTATTTATGGACTGCTTAATGCCAAGACAGGCTTCTGTTGTATTATTAGCATTAATGTTGTATTATTAATATGGATTTCCTCAAATGTCTTTTTAAATCGGGTCAAAGCTCAGTGGCAGAGGACCTGCTTTGCTTGTAGAAGTTCCCAGGTTCAATCCCCAACAGGATCTTCCAGACGGGGTTGGGGAGTGACCTCCGAGTCTGAAACTCTGGAGAGCTAGTATCAGCCAGCCTAGACCCTAGATAACACTTGGCAGTACTCTGACTCAGTACAAGGCAACTTCCTAATGAATGAAACTATTGCTTAAAGCCACAGCATAGAATAAACAATGGAGCATTCTGACATATTCGATGGACTGATATATATAAAACAGAAAAATAATACACCCTCAAAGTGTAAAACATGCACTACCCCTCTACAATTAGCTATAAAAATGTTAAAAATAAAACAGAAGCACCCATAAATCTCCCTATGGTTTTGGAACTTGCCCACTGTTTTCCTCAGTTGCCAGAGGCCATTACATATATGCCTGCAAATATGAGTCTGGCAGAAACTGGAAAATGTAAGTGCTCACAGTGCTCATATAAGTGACAGCCAATGGGAGACATCCTTGGCCTCACTCGTGTCACAGAATGTTATTAAACCTCCAATCCAAGAAAGCAGAGGACATACATTGGAGACAGAAGGCTGTAGATCATTTCCTTAAATTTATGATGGATGCACAGACTTGCAAATACTGTATTATGTAAACTAGCTTTGGCTGTTTTGGACTCTTACATAAATTCAAATTTAGCCCAAACTGCCAAAGGCAAACCTATATATACAGCACATTATATATTAAGAGACTTGCCTAAAGATATAGTTATTGTTCATGCTAATTCTACATGAACAGTAGCATAAGTGCTTTTTTTTTAAAGGAACACCTTGATTTGCACTGGCTTTGGCAGTCCTTATGGTACTGATATTTTGCTGCATTGTTTTGTTTTGCTTCTTACTAGTCCTCTCTTTCACAGCAAAGCTGTGCTTTTCATTGAATCCTACAGTTGAAAGGGACTACCAAAGGTCATTGAGTCCAACCCCCTGCAATGCAGGTATCACCTATTGTTGTTTCATTTCAGCAGGTGCCTCCCCTCTAGTTACCCTGAGCTTTTAAGGTTGGTTGAGGCAGTAAAAGAGGAATTTCCCTTTCTCTCTCTTTTCTTTTTGAGGGGAAAATGTACTCCTCGCATGCTCAGACCCAGCAATCAGTTGGGCTCTATCTTCGAAGTGGGAAGGCAGAAGCTGAAGGAAAGAGGTTCCATCCCTTTGTTGTTCTCCTCTCGGGTAGAGGGAGCGCCAGGAGGAACTCTGCTCATGCCCAGAGACATCAACGCTCACCATAAAGCCCCCCGCGCCGCTCCCGTCCCCCGCCTGCCAGCTCTCCTCCTGGCCACCGCCTCTCGGCTTCATCCTGCAACGGCTGCTCTCGCCGTCGCCCTTTTTTATCCTCACAGCGAGGTCCAGCCTTCCCGCCCAAACCGCGCGGGCCAATCACGGTACGCCCCTTCCGACCACGCCCCCGCCAAGGCTTCGTGCCGCAAACCAGGCCACGCCCAGCCCCAGCAGCAGAGCCAATTCTGTGCCCTCGGCAGCGTCCGTGGAGCGGAGAGGGGGGCGAGCGTGGTGCATGATGGGGCATGTAGTCCTAACCCTCAGAGTTTTGTTGTTTAGCGACACACCCGTTTTTCATCTAAAATGGGCACCCGAAGCGGCTTTAAATGCGGGGAAGCTCGAGTTAATAATAACGACATGGCATTAACGCTAGATACTCTGTGGGTGTCGCTTTCTTTTGTTTTTTTACTCCCAATTAACTTGCAAGAGTAAGCCCAAAGAAATTTAATGCGCCAAAGTTAGCCATGTCTTTTGAATCCTGCTCTAATGTGACTAAGACTGGATGCTACCCCTTGATTTAAATTTTAAACTTTGCCCTGTTCTATCTTTTAGAAAGTTTTCACCATGACACAAAACCATGACAATTCTTAAACTTCGTTTATTTCATGCATTTTGGTCCAGCAAGAGGGGCAGGGGAGCTTGAAATAGCTTACAAGCACACTGGTTTACATAATACAACATTTGTCATCATAAAAAAATTAGCCGCCAAAACAATAACAACAAAATCCAACAACATGTAAGGTAAAAGGGTAAAGGTGAAAAGTAAAGGACCCCTGGATGGTTAAGTCCAGTCAAAGGGGACTATAGTGTGTGGCACTTATCTCATCTTCCCACCACAGCTTCCCACTATTTATCTATGGTCTGCTTTCAAACTACTAGGTTGGCAGGAACTGGGACAGAGCAATGGGAGTTCACCCTGTGACGGGGATTCGAACCGCCGACCTTTGGATCAGCAACCCAAGTATAGCATGAACGGATGGTGGTGCATTCAGTGACTTCTTCCCATCTCCAGCACAAGCACAAGAACTGCAAGTAGAAAGCAGACATTTCCAGCACTGGGATTTGCTCCCTGTGAGATCCTGCACCACCTGGAAGGACCATGTGGTGGATACTCTTTGGTAGCTCAGGAGGCTGGCAATAACTCTATTTCTGAAGGATGAATAAAAATGGATTTCCCATTCTGCTACTGTATCAGGTTGCACCGTGGCTGCATCACAATAGTCTTTAATTGCAACAGGAATATTTGTTTACTCCTTCTACACTGCCTAGAGGCTGCAGAATTAGGTACATACAAAATTTTAAAAAGCCCTTGATTGAACATGTTACAAAAGCATGGGACGCAAAGCTAGTATGAAAACAACTGGACAATTCAGCCACCTTGGGTAAACTTTTTGGGTGTCTACTAAACAAAGGAGGAAAATAAATCTGGATAACTTCATGCTTGAAGCTCCTTGGATGGATGGATGGAACCACTCCTTCAATGGTCCTCTTCCATTTCTAGGCTCCTTTCCTTGTGTTCCTTTCAGCCTGCAGGTAGGGACTGTCAATTCTTAATCTTTCTAAAGCTCACTTTTTAGGTGCTCAAGGAAGTGGTAGAGAGGGAAGCTTCAGACTAAGGAGGATAGAACACTTAAGAACAGGCATGGGGAGTCCATGGGGCTGCCCTTGATACTGAACTACAGCTTCCACCAGCCTCAGCAAGATTGGCCAGTGGCTGGAGAAGATGGGAGCTATGGTTTGGAACCTGGAAGGCTACAGCTTCTCCACCCCTGCTCAAGAGCAATCCATAACCAGCCTTCCCCAAACTAGTGCCACCAGATATTTTGGACTAAAACTCGCATCAGTCCTGACCTGTATGTCTGTACTCCCATCAACACTGGCATAATAGAGCTGAGTTGGCTGTGGCTGATGGGCGTTTTAGTCCAAGTAATATTGAAGGCACAATGTTGGCAAAGTCTGCCTTAAAATGGATTAAACATAATGCTGTGGTGCAACCTCTAAAGTGCATTTGCGGCAGACCAAAGGGTTGTCATGGGAAAGCATTTTCAAAGACATCGGTAGGACAGTTTCAGCCTTTAATCTTCCCCCCTTTTTAATGTGGCCCCATGGCATTGGCAAATGCAGGATGATTGTAGCAATGTGTCAGGAAGCTGTATGAAATCTAGCCTTTAAACTTCCTGGTGAAGAAGACTAAAAGGCAGAGAGGGAAGCAATGGGCCTTTGAAGTTTAAGCATCAATTAACTGGCATGTTTCCTAGAGGCAGCCCAGAGGCAAGGTGAGTTGGTTGAACAGATTGAGAGTGCCATCAAGGACAGTTAGCAGGGAGAATGACTGAGCTGATCCATGGACCATGCCGTCTAGAAAAAAGGCAGTTCTCCTCCTTGGGGGGATTGCTGGGTTTCTTCAAAGCAGGCACCAAAAGGTATTGAGCTGTCTCTCTCACTTGCTCTTGAGATGCTTAACGGCTCCTTGATTAACCAGCCATGTTCTGACTCCTTCAGCTGAGCTGAAGGCAAAAGATTCTCAAACAGACCTCTGGAGCCCACCTTGTATATGTGAGGACTGTTCCCTTGTGAGAATACAAATCCAGTTACACCTTGATCAGGGTTTCTCTGGTCCACATTGCCATGCTTTGGAGCAGAGCAGTCTGTGGCTGGTGCCTTTCTCCCCTGCAGCTGCAGTAACATGACACTCACTCTGCAGCTCAGCAGGCTGCCCACTTACAACTTGGTGGGCTCCTGGGCATTGAGGCCATCATCTTCTTGGACCTGCAGCATGGTGGGCGTAGGCAGGACAATGGGCAACGTGTTGGTGCCCCGTTCATGCCAACACATGTCCAGGATGGGGTACAGCTTGCCCTGGAACTCTGCTTGAAAGGTGTAAATTGCTACCAGTTCGTCAGGGCTGTCGGCATTGTAGAAGGTCAGCTCACCCTTCTCGTAGTGCAAGTAGACCCCGATGCGCTGGGGGCGGGCTGAGAGTGGCAGCACCACGCGTGGGTTGTTGAAGGCCTCATAGACCTTGCCCTCCTTCAGGCCGATCAGCCACACCCCATGCTCAGGGCTCTTGTTCAGCTTGCCCTTGCGGCTGACTGTGGCTTTGACGATGCCCAAACGCCAGTGGCTCTTGAGGCCCACAATCACTTCCCAGTAGTGCCTCCCCCAGGAGAAGCCCTTGTTACCCAGGATGCAGTTGCTGTAGTCGAAGCGGTCAGGGTTGCTGCCTCGCCTCTGGAAGAACACCCCACACTGGACCATGGTGTTTCCCTTGGACAGCTCCAGGATGGGGTGCGCACTCACTGGGTCCAGTTTCAGCATCTCTGGAGCTAAGAAAAGGGGTGAAAATCAGGAGGGATCCTGAGCAGGGGTCAAGCCACCTTTTACAGGTAAATATAATTAATTTTTGAGACGCGGGTGGCGCTGTGGGTAAAAGCCTCAGCGCCTAGGGCTTGCCGATCGAAAGGCCGGCGGTTCGAATCCCCGCGGCGGGGTGCGCTCCCGTTGCTCGGTCCCAGCGCCTGCCAACCTAGCAGTTCGAAAGCACCCCCGGGTGCAAGTAGATAAATAGGGACCGCTTACTGGCAGGAAGGTAAACGGCGTTTCCGTGTGCTGCGCTGGCTCGACAGATGCAGCTTTGTCACGTTGGCCACGTGACCCGGAAGTGTCTCCGGACAGCGCTGGCCCCCGGCCTCTTAAGTGAGATGGGCGCACAACCCTAGAGTCTGTCAAGACTGGCCCGTACGGGCAGGGGTACCTTTACCTTTATAATTAATTTTACAATGAAAGGAACCCACCCATCCCTTTACTCTTCACTAAAGCTACCTCCTCCCTTTTTACCTTGCCAAAGCCACCCACCTCCTCCCCTTAGACTCAACAAACCTTCACAGCTTACTTGGACCACCTGCCTGCTGCTCTGCTCTGGGCTGCCCAACTGCCCACTTCCATCTTCATTTTTGTTCTCCTCACCCTCTGATGCTGCTGCGATGGCCCAGCAGCTCTGAGAGCCCAGCTTGTTGTAACACTCTAGTTAGCAGTGTCACCTGTCTGGGGACAAGTGAACTGCAGTGTGATGACACATTTTTATTATATGTGCAGAAATATTGTGCACCGCTTAAAGCTGTTTAAAAACCTGTTTATAAATGCAATACAATGGCTCTGTGGAGTTGTTGTCCACAGAGCCTGGAGAGCACCAGGTTGAGGAAGGCTGCTTTAAGACTTCTGAGGAGCCTGTTGGCTTCCTCTGCAACAGCGGCTGTACCTGGGAGGACTTTGCGTAGTAGTCTCTTCCACACCATCATCTTGATGTCATCTTGGTGGAAGTCGGGCTTAAAGGAGACTGCGCTGAACATACCATCAGCCAGATGCTGGCGGGGGAGCTCAGACCTGGGGGAGCAGGGCAGCATATTGATTTTCATCATGATTTTCTCAAAATGAATACTTGAGTCTTAATCATCTGCTACAGCTTCCCAACTACCTGGCCCCAATTTAATTGTTGGAGTGATGCTGCTGAGGAAGCACTCTGGCCTTGAAGATCTGCAGTGGCTCCCTCATATTTGCAGGAAAGTAGGAGGGCATAGCTCAGTGGTTGTGGACTACAATTCCCTTCAGCCCCAGACAGCACAGCTGGGAGTTGTAGTTCAGAGCAACAGGTGGGCACCAGGTTTGTGAAAGCTGCATTAAATAATTGCTCTGGGAGGAAGATAATGAATACGTGTTGCATCTTGGGGTGGGGGGAGGTTGGGGAGACTATGATTGACATGCATCAGATCCCTTGTCACTTTTTGACCATTGGCCCATTCCATGGACCCCCTGAGAGATCATGGAGCATGGCCTGACTCCACAGTGCAACACATACACACACTTTCTCTCTCTCCTCCCCTCCCCTTTCAACATACCTGGAGGGAAGAGATCTGTATTTCTGTAAAACAAGAAATGAAGAAAGCCTTAGTGAGCTTATGCTGCTACAGCATCTATAACAGAACCTTAGGCTTAGAGGCAGGACACAGGGAAAGGTGTGGAAAATGTGGGTAAATTGAATTGGGGCTGTAGAGCACCCCTGCTTTTATGGACCCCACAGCTCCTATAGCCCTCCTCTATACCCCCAAACCCTCAAGTTGAACCTTCCCCTATGTGAATCAGTGTGTGGTAGAGACAAGGTGTTGTTGGCCATTTGGATTTTCTGCCTCAGACAGCACCAGGCAGGCAGACATACCCTTATGAAATCCAACTGGCTTTCGTTGTTGAGTTTCTCCAGGGAATTCTCCAGCTCCTTCAGCTTCTGCAAGATGTCTGTCGTCTGATTCACCTGGACTTCGATGGAGGCGATAAGTTGGCCTGCCTCCCTCTCAATCCGCCCCAGGAACCTAGCCTTCTCCTCATCGATGTACCTGTGCAGTTCCTGGAACTGCTTCCGGACCACCCATTTGAAGACATCGGACTCGTTCTGAGGGGGAAATCCAGAAACACAACTAACACTAGAATGAGGCGTGGCTTAATTTGAGTTGAGGTGTGCATGGGTTTAATTCTGGCAACTGCCTTCTGGGGCTGTTTCCAAGAGGCTCCCTGCCACAGCGCTCTTTGGTAGGAGAAGCTGGTGGCAAAGCTTGCATTTCAAGTTGGCTTGACCTTGTGTCCTTGGCAGCAAGATTAAGAAGTTTGCATTTTAACATTCATCATTGAAGATTCTGTTGGATATAGGAGGTATCAAATTATATTTAAAATCATTCAGTAGTATGAGTTAAGGTTCAGATTTAAGGTTTTGTTTTTTAAATCTAATTTTGAAATGAAACCTGAACATTTTGGAAACTGGATGTTAACTTCCACAACTCAGTTCCCAGTGCTGAATGCAGTTAGCTCCCTGGACCCAACATATAGTCTGATTCCCTGGACGCACCGCAATGCGCGTCTTGTTGTTCATCAGCCTGCTGACGTGCTCATCCAAGCTCCCCTTCTGCTTCTGCACCTCTGTCATCCACGCAGAGAGCTTCTCCTGAGGAAACAGAAACAGCTTTAGTAGATCAGGCCAAGGGGAGTCCAGCTTGCCGTTACGTTTCCAACAGTGTCCAGCTGACGTAAAGGGGAACGGTTCTAGGTCAGTGGGGTCAAAACAGCTGCTTTGCATGCAGAAGCCCCTGGATCAAGCCCTGGCAACATCTCCTAGTAGGACTGGGAAATATTCCCTGGCTGAAACCCTGGACAGCTGCTGCCAGTCAGTGTGTGCCAGGAGTGAGGAACCTCACCTGGGCCTTGGAACTCTTCCCAAGCCCCACCCCTTCTTCCTAGGCCATGTACCTCCTGGCTCTGCTTTGCACCTTGAGTGTTTTTGCCTGGCTGGAAATATGTCCTTGAACTCGACTAACACCTTTTGCTCATGGACAGAGGAGAGAGAGGGGCATGTGACTGCGTGTAGAAACATGGCTACAGTGGCAAGGTAACATTTACATTCATTGCGTGGCCCACTTTTGCCTCTGGCCCAACCTAGCACCTGGCCCCCTCAGAAGGTTGCCTAGAAGACTGAAAAAACCTCCCAGCCTTGGGGTGGGCAGTACTAAACTTAGACCAATGCTCTGACTCTCAGAATAATGGAGCCTCCTATGTCTCTGTTTTAAGATGGGATTCTAGGCCATACATCCCCTACAACCATCTGAAGCCCCCACCCCAGGTACCAGGGAAAGAGAAACTCAGATATGGAAAGGATACACATGTAAGTTGCCTTCTGCTGGGTCAGACCTTTGATCCACCTAGGCCAGAATCGCCTTCTTTGGCAAAAGAAGCTCTTGGGGGTCTCCTAAGGCAGGGAAGAGGCTTTCCACACACACACACACACACACACACACACACACACACACACACCCTGTTCAGATATCTGGGAAGTGGAGTCAGGCCAGGGGTCAAGGTCAGGACTTTCAATTCACAAGCTCATTGTTAGCATAGGCATATGCTAACACTAGAGTCTGGCTCTGCTAGGAGTCAGACACATCCATTTGTGGGCAGGAGAGATTTGACCACTTCTGGCTTATCTCTGTCCTACCTAGTAACAGGCACACTCAAAGGAGCCGGGACAGCCTTGCTTTGCTTTTCCATTCCCATTTCCAAGGTTCTTTGTTTGCCTCAAGGCAAACCTTGTGGCTCATTGCTTCCTCTAGCTGCCCTTGATCACAGGCACCTGATCTACACGTGATTCCCCACACCCCCTTTTCAGAACACACCTGCGCCCAAAGCACAACACGAAGCACCAGGCTGGGGGAGGCTGCTCTAGACCCCCAAACAAATAGCAATGTTGCTGAAACCTTCAGCATGCAAGGCAGGGGCACTATGGCCCTTCCCCATATTACACCAGAGAAGATATGGAGCTACCTTTCACCAAGGAATGTAGATGCACTACTACTGAACTACAGCCCCTTCCCTTCCTTTTTTTTTTTTAAATAAAAAATTAAGACACTGAAAGCTATCTTGCTGGATCAGACCAAGGTCCACCTAAATTGGCAACCAGCAGGCATTTGGTGGTCCACCAGGAATCTGTTCAGGATCCACCTTCTGCCTAAGCTCCCCACACCATCCAAGCACTTACCTTCATCCGGCTGTAGATGGTCGAGATGGGGGTGACCTTATGGTGCTGATGGGTGCCGATGGTGCCGCAGAGACCACAGATCACCTCTTGGTCTTGCTCACAGAAGAGGCTGAGGGGGTTGTGGTGGTTAGGGCAGGACTCCTCGTTGGGATCTGAGCTGCCTGCAGCATGCAGTGCCTCAATGATACGAGCCAGGTTGACATTGGGTGGGGAACTGCTGCAGTCCACAGCCTTCCGGCACACCGGGCAAAGGAACTGGCTCTCCAGGTCAACTGAAAGCGCGACCACGCAGATCTTGCAGTATGAATGCCCACACTGGAGCATCAGGGGCTCTTTGAAGACTTCCAGGCAAATGGGGCAGAGCAGCTGGTCTTCCAGCTGGTCGATGCTCATCTTCCTGGCCATTTTGCCCACCAGTTTCTTTTCTTAACCTAGTCCTGGAAGCCCAGCACCCTGTTGTGGGAAACTCCAGTTGTGGGGGGCAAGAGGAAATGAGAGCAATTATTGTTCCTCCTGATTAACAGACCTCCTGCAACAAACGAGAACCGATAAGATGACAAGTAAAGAAGCGATGCAATCTTAGGGAGAAGTAAGAGTGCCCCTGAGCACACGCAAAGCAAAATAACAAGGCTGGGACTGGGGGAAATGAATTTGCTCCTGAGTCATGAAAACAGGAAGGGAGGAAGGAAGGTCAGCATCCAGGTAACTGTCATTCCATACTTACCAGGAGATCAACACCTGGCTCCTTTGCTCGAAGACATCAGAAGTGCTCTGCAGTCCCAGGGGCACCAGCCTTCAGGCAGAAATGCCTACAGGGCTCTCTGGCTCTTTTAAGGAGATGCAACAAATTTGCTTGGGAACGGCATTGCAGAGCTGAGAGGGGAATAGTGTGTGTTTTCTTCAGTGGTGGAAGAGGGACAGTTAAAAGATGTTGAGGAAGCAAGAGTGACAGAGGAACTGTAACCCCCTTAAGTGCAGAGATGGTGAACCCGTGGTGGCCCTCCAGAGTTGGTTGGTCTCTGATGACTCCCATCAACCTTGGGGAAGGACCTTTGCTCAGTGGCAGAGTACCTGTCCCTGGTTCAATCCCCATTGGCATCTCCAGGTAGGACAGGGAGCAGCCCCATCTGAAGCCCTGGCAATTCATTACTGCCAACCTGTGTTGACCAAGGAGAGCATCCTTACCTTCCACAGCTCAGTTGCCTTTTGCTTTCCGCCTTCTTTGCTCACTTGCCCTTCACCCGTAATCACAGGGCTTAGAAAACGCCAATGCTTGGGATTCAGAGACCCTTCCTTTTGGGGAAATGCTCCTGTCCGCAAAGAGTCAACTACTTCTACCCCCTCAAATCAATCCATGTGTCCCCCAAGCGGGAACTCCGAGCCACACAACTTACTGTGAAAAATCAGAGGTCAGCAGCACACCCACCCATTCATGCGTCTGCACATTTACCTTGAATGTTCACCTTGCAAAACTTTTGTTCTCCTCCCCACACACCCTGGCTTGGCCACGCCTGGCACTCATTTATTTGTCCATCAGGCGCCAAAGACTTCTTTACGCTTACCGACTAACTGGCAACAGATAAGACTTCTGGCTCAGACATTACTTTTTTCCAGCCTTATTGTTGCAGGGTAGACTTGAAGTCTCCAATCCTGATGTTCCTGAGAAGAGAAATAAAGTACAAAAGCAGCCTTGCTGACCTCTCGGGGTTCAGTGAACCCCAAGTTTCCTTGATGGCCACCAAAATTGCAAAAAGAAAATGAGGGAGTAATGGGAGGGTGAGCAAGAGGTGTTGGGCTGATCCCTGTTTGGTGGGAGCTAGTTAGGTCTCTGTCTCTGCTGGGCATTTTTCAAGGTGAAACTTGCCTCGAAAAGAGTTTCATCTCAGCTATCTGCTGAGGGTCCTGGTTGTGCTGACCCTTAGAAAGGAGGCCTTGTGCCAGGACCGGCTCTGCCTTTGACAGATGTGTGTGCAGTGGGGTCAGAGGACCTTAAGGAGAGCTGCTCCCTGTCAGCAATTCCCACCAAGGGACAAGTTCCTTCCTGCAGGGGCCTGGGGGACTTCCAGTTGCTCAACCCCAGTATCTTGTTTGGGAGGGGCAGCCTGCTGCAACTTTGCCTGGATTATCCTGCTTCCCTAGGAAGGCAGCAGGGAATTTCAAGTCCTGTGCCTGGTTTTATTTGAGACTTTTTTGTCACCGTTGGAATAGTTTTTATACACAGAATTGTTCTCAATTGTTCTACCTACAGAACTGTTTATAATCGTTTTTGCACTTTTCTTGCTTTATGGTTCTGTCTTATAACTATGTGCGGCCTGATGGTAAAGGCGGGGGCACAGATAAGAAATCTGATTATATAATTGAGCCACTTATTGAGCCTTTTGAGGCTGAAAGCGGTATACAGTACAAGTCTTTTCAGGCTGCAGCCCTACACATACTTCCCTGGGAGTAAGAGCCACTGAACTCAATGGAGCCCCGTTATTCCCAGTATAATTTCAAGACACGTGCCATTGCGTTACACTGCGTATCGTTCTGCATTGGGATGTGGAGCTTGAAGCCGGCGTGCTGCTGAAGGCTTTGATTTCTCTCCGAGGATTTTTTTGGGAAGCACTGGCGGCTGTGAAGAATGCCACATCGAACCCGGAAACTCGTCGAGCAACGAACGTCTAACATTCGCAGCTCTACGAGATCTCCGCTAACCCACCCGCGAGCATGCGCGGCTCCTTTTTCCGGCGCATGCGCGTTCAGAGCTTGGCGCCATGCGGGAACGCGGGCGGAAGAGTGGCTCCGCCGTGGGGCCCGGCTTGTACAGCGCGGCTGCCTCGGTCCTGGCCGGACTGGAGCGCCGGGAGGGTGCCCTCAAAACCCTGGTCTACGGGAGCCGATTCCAGGCGAGTAGAAACAAATATTTGCATGTGTTTGCATGTATTTGCATAAATTGGAGTGGCAAGCTTGGCGAAAGGAGGGGCCTCTACAAAACGGGGTCAGGCAGATTTATGGCAGAGTCGGAGGCTGCCGCCGACTGCGATGGTGCAAATGGAATCGCCACCTGCGGGGGCTGCCTATCTTGGGATGTCAATAGCGAGTGTATGACGTCAGAGAAGGGGGCGTCACCCTCAGGCCCTGCATCAGATTGGCCACTGATGAGGCAGGGGAATGGACCAACTTTGCTCTGGTCCAACAGGTGTATTTTATAGGAGGATATAAAGCCACTTTGCTATATCAAGCCAGGCCATTCCTGGAGTTAGAAGGGACCATAAGAGTCCCACAGCCCTGAGATTAAGAATCCTATGCTCCATTAGCTCAGCTATCCAGGTGTTCATTGATGCACCTAACACAGTATTTTCTAGTGTCTAGTCTACACTGGCAGCAGTGACTCTCCAGGGTTTTTCTGGCAGTCTTTTTAAATGCTCAGGTGAGTTGAACAGATAAAGAGCAGCAAGCTTTTTAAAAAGGCAAATGGCACCTTGAATTAAAGCAATAAAATAAGAAAAAGCTGAGCTGCAGGGATTTTATAGTTTGAACTCATAGCCAAGAGAGATGATAGAAAAAGAGAGGGATCTGCTGAAGCTGAAGCTGTGCTAAGCTGTTAAGGGGGGGGGCACCTGAGACCTTCCAGATGTTGCTGGACTCCAATTCCCATCAGCCTGTGCATCCAGTGGCAAGGGATGATAGGAGCTATAGTCCAACAACATACAGAAGGCCATGGGTTCCCTGGGGTAAAGTGCGGAGCCCAGCTGTCCATCAAATTATTATTTCAGGTGTGTGCAGGGGGGTGTGTGTCTTTCCAAACTTAAAAATAGAATTCCCTGTTAGTGCTTGTTACCTAAGTGCTCAAAGTGGTCATAGCAGCAAGTAAAGCAGCCCCACTCCCAAGTTGGCATTTTTCAAGTGTTTTGGACTGTGTTTTCCATCAGTACCAGCCAGCAGGGACTAAGGATGGCCATGGGGCTGATGGGAGGTGTAGTCCAAAGCACCTTGGAAGCAACAGCATGGGGGAGATTGGAGTAAAGTGCCCACTTAGCTGTAAAACACGGATAGTCTTTGCTCCATTAGCGACAATGATCCCTGCTCCTCTTCTAGAACCCCCGTCTGCTCTGTGCCCTCGTTTCGGAGACCCTTCGCTATTCTCCTGTGCTGGACTCTATACTGGAGGCTGCTGGCTTGCTCCGTGCTGAGAAGAAGCTGCAGCCGCACCTGGCGAAGGTGAGCATGAGGGGCGGTTGCAGCCCCAGCCCCTGGGCTCCCCCATGCCCAGAACAAGTACCCCGTGCTGTCACCCACTGGTGCCCCTCTCCTTCCTTTTCAGGTGTTGGTGTATGACTTGCTCTTTGGCAAGGGCCTGCGTGGTGGCGGGCATGGCAAGGTCCTGGTCCTGAAGCATCGTGCCCGTCTGCAGGCCGAACTTGCCCGCTTGAAAGTCCAGAAGAAAGTGAGCCACAATGAAGATCTGCTGCCACCGATGGCGGCAGGAGGGGCTGGCCAAGGTAGGTGGCTGGACATGAGGTGCCTTTCCAATATCTAGGCTACTGCACTGGAAGAACCTATCTTAATATTTCATGGCTGCCAAAATGCATAGTCTCCGGAATCTCCCCGAACATAATGCTGTTCTTGGGAGAAAATGCACAGGCTCTGACTTGGGCTGACTCCCAGGGAAAGGTGCTTTGAAGTGGGGCAGAGAGACAGGGAAGCAGGCGTTGAGAGTGAGCAGCTCTACAGCCTGGATAAGTGCATATCCTGGTGGTGCAAGATGAGGCTCCTGGTCTATCAAGTTTTATTTACTTAGGAGAATTTTTAGACTGCAGAATCACTGCTGTCTCTACACCTCAAGACCGGCTATAGGGGCGGAAGGGGGTGGGAGTCTTCATGGTTGATGATGAAGGAAGACCAGCATCTCAGTTTGAGAACTCAGTACCCCAAGTTCCTTGTTTGTTTCCAGCTCCTCGAGTGCCGCGATACGTCCGAGTGAACACCTTAAAGACGTGTGTGAGTGACGTTGTTGACTACTTCAAGCGCCAGGGCTACTCTTACCTGGGTAAAGCAGCCAGGTGAGCTTGATATTCCTTCCCTCCTTCTCAGACCCTGCGTGATCTTGGGAGAGGCTGGTACTTTCAGGGTGTCCGCCTGCTAGCCAGCAATGGGCTCAAAACCGTGGCTAGATTTGTTTGCTGTTCCTACTCAGATCTCTTCCAGATAGTTGAAAGCCCTCCAATTGGAGGAGGAGGAAGAGCTTTTTCCATTAGTGGGCAGATTCTCTTTGGCATGGATTGCCTGCCTTGGGAGGGCACAGCTAGCTGGCTCTGGGCTGTGTGGGTGTTGGGGACGTGGAATGAAACTTAACTCCACATCCCATTGTATTTCCCTTCAGCCTAGAGGATGTGAGCTCCTTGTCCGGGAAGAAATTCCTGCTGGATCCCCACCTTCCAGAGCTGCTCATCTTTGCTCCACAGACGGACCTCCATGAGAACCAGCTGTATGCAGCTGGGCACATAATACTTCAGGACAAGGTAAGGGTGGCGTTCTCCAGCTGTGGCACAGGAAAGTGGGGGAGGGTCATTTTTGCCCCAGCAACCTCCTGTTGCCCCTGGAAGTGCTGGGTTCCTGAAACAGACTTCTGCTTTCTTCTAACTGTGGCTTCGGGGTTCCTTCAGGAATTGTGTTTCCATGGACATTGGACTCTGCCTTATACCAAATCAGATCACAAAAATGTTGGTTGCTGAATCAGATCACAAAAATGTTGGTGGGGCTTCTGAAATTTGGTGAATGCAATGCAGCGAATGCTCTTCTTTGAGACAGATGTGCCCTTTAAAAGACAAGAATGTAAATGTACCCTTACTGGGTTTTGTCTACAAAGGAGACACCAGCTTTTGGGTGCTATTCAGTCTGCCTGCTTGTCTCCCTAGGTGTGGGTGGAAATAGGCTGCCAGGGTTAACATGTGCTTGTGGGGTGCTAAGAACCCCCTGCTGAGGCCAGGGAGTGTTTGGAAGAGGCAGGTCTCAAGTTCCACTTTGACTTGGCTCCTCTTGTAGGCCAGCTGCCTGCCTGCTTTCCTCTTGAACCCCCTGCCGGGGTCCCACATCATCGATGCTTGTGCTGCCCCCGGCAACAAAACCAGTCAGCTTGCTGCTATCCTGAAGAACAAGGGGTAAGTACAGGGAAGCCAAGTAGGTCCTCAGTGGCAAGAGGGACCCAGCTGGGGCAATTGGCACTTGTGGGGAGAGATGCACCCTGTAGCCCTAAGGCTACACTGCCCCATCTCACTCTAGGCTTAGACCTTAGTGAGTTTCGGGAGAGGCAATAAGTCCTGTGTGCCTGTCTCTCCTCTTCCCACCAACCTTCTTTCTCCCAGGGCCTGCCTTGCCCTTTATGGCCAATTGTGCCACTTAGAGGACCAGGAGCAGGAGAGGGACTAGACCCTGCTTTGTTCAGTTTGACAGGTGTGGGTCCTGCTGGCCATAGTGAGAGTTATGATTGGCTAAGCTCAGTCAGTGGGAGAGGGAGACTAGGCTGGGGTTTGCAGGGTGGGGGTGAGGAGTGTCAAATTCTCTGGAAGAGGACTCTGCCCTCCCTGACATGCTTGCTGTGTTTCTTCTGGGTTTCTCTCTCTTTCTGACTTTCTGGCTGTGAACACTCACGGTGCTTTTCATACTCTCAATGCACAGGCAGATCTTTGCCTTTGACCTGGATGCCAAGCGCCTGGCCACAATGAGCACCATGCTGGTGAGGGCGGGGGCCACCTGCTACCAGCTGGCACACCAAGACTTCTTAGCCACAGACCCTGCTGATCCCAAGTACAGCTCTGTGAGATACATCCTCCTGGATCCATCGTGCAGCGGCTCAGGTGAGCAGGGGAAGGGTCTAGGGGAGCAGATATTCCCATCCTGTGGAACTCCAGCTTTGGTCTTGCACAACTGCAAGCAAATGTACCCTGGGGTGTCAGGGTTTTGCGTGCTGAGAGATCAGTGAGGCAGTAACTGCTCTGGGGTGGTCCTAAGTGCTTGGCTGCTCAGTCTTGGTACCACAGAGGTGGCCTCTGAGCCCCAGGCAATCATCTGCTGCCCTCTTAAGCCAGGAAGCCAGGTGCATTTGCTTTTATTTATTTATTTTTTAGTCTCACTAAGGATACCTTTTGGCCCTTCCTCTTCCTGAAGGGGTGAGTGATGGTCTCTCCAGAGTTTGTGAAACCTGTTGGAGTTGACCAGGGTTCACTTTATGAATTTATACCAAAGGCTTCCTATGGAAACTTCCATCATGGAGACTCTGGCGGGCCGAATAATCTCTGGACTCCTACGTTTTCTGCACTGTGAGCTCCAGCCCAACCCTATAGCAAAGGCTGCCTATTTTAGGGCAGGGCCTGCCCATTAGGTATGCTCAGGACTGGAGCCAGTTGCTGCCAGGCAGATCCCAGCCTGGAAGCTGAGCTCCATCTACCACCAACCTAACCTGCGGAGCCCAACCCTGCAGCCTTGGAGCAGTTGTAGCCTATAGCACCAGGTTAGGGAAGGCTGGGTCCGTCTCATGTACCTTTGTTCCCAGGAATGGTCAGCCGGGTGCCAGTTGAGGAAGAGAATGCCAACCTCCCTGAGCGCTTGCAGGCGCTGTCCAGGTTCCAGCGGAAGATGCTGGCTCATGCG